ACATGAAGAAGATGGAATAAGACTGGGGGCAGTAATCTTTGCAGATGTAGCAACTTGTCGAAAGCCTAGTACCTGAGAGAGAACATTGGAGGGGATGAATGTAGAAAAATAGGGACAGATCATGAAGAGTCTTTGGAGGCTTAAGAATATTGGATTTTGTCCTAAGTGCATTCAGAGTTTTGAAGTGAAGGGGTAGCACCAAAGTTGCATTGTGAAGATGTAACTCTCCGCAGAGTGGAGATTGATGGAAGCAGGGCAGAGAGGAAGGGGGACACCAGTTAGGAAGCTGTTATACCAGTTTTGCTGAGACTGGTTCCCTGGACTGAGATAGTCACAGAAAAGATGGGGTAAGATAGGCAAATCTAAGGGAGGCTTAGTAAGATTTGCTGATAGATTTGTTTTAGGTTGTAAGATAGAGACAAGAGTTAAGGATGTAGGTTTCTGATGGGCGCACTTATGTGAATAATAATGTCTTTAAACTGAGAAGGGAAAACTGGAATAAAATCACATTGGGCATAAAGATTGAGTTTAGTTTTAAATATGTTGAGTTTGAGGAGTTTCTGGAGACATACAGTTGATAGTTGGAAATACACGTTAGGAACTCAGGAGAAAGGTGTGTGCTGGATGTAGACAGATTTAAGTGATTTGTGACAGGTGGTCATTGGCTGTAGATGAGATTGGCTAGGCAGCAAATGTAGAAATGAAAAAGACATAGGTCAGAACCCTGAAGATTTCCAACAATTAATCTTTTTGTAGAGGAGGAAGACTGTAGAGAGGTGTATAGTTCCTTTGAAGTGATGAGTTCACACTGAGCCATTTACAAATGATACATCTTTCTTGTGACAATCTTGATTTGTATGTTTTCCTCATCTTCAACTTGTAAGGTGGGTAGGTGAACTACAGTTTGTCTGATGCCTCTTTATTTTTTCCTGTCTTATTTTAGATTTGAATTGTGTATTTTTTATGACTCCATTTTATCTCCACAATTCTGTTATTATCCCCTTTTCTAAATTTTTTTTAGTGATTACTCTAGGGTTTACTATACACATCTTAGTTCATTCAGGCTCTTGTAACAACAATGGAAAGAAAACCGAAAACACGGAGTGAGTGGCTTACAAACAACAAACATTTATTTCTTGTAATTCTGGAGGCTGGGAATTCTAAAATCAAGCTGCCAGCAGATTCTGGTGATGGCCTATTTCCTGGCTCATAGATGATTGTGTTCTCATTATAACCTTACATGGTAGAACGGGGCAATAAACTCTGAGCCTCTTTTATGAACACTAATCTCATTCATGAGGACACCCTTCGTAACCTAATCACCTTAAAGGCCTCTCCTCCAAACATCACATTGGGAATTAGGTTTCAACATAAGAATTTTGAGGGAATGCAAATATTCATCGATTGTAACATCTTACTGCACTCTACCTTCAAATAGTATTAAACCATTTTGTGTATAATTTAGGAATTTTGTAAACCATGTCTTTAGAGTTCCTTTAACCCATCCTTTTTGCTATTGTTACACGTTTTACTTTTATATAGTTACAGACTCCATAATAAATTATATTTGCTTTGCACAGTTATCTTTTCCCCTTTTTAATTTTTTACAGTCTGAATATGTTCATACAGTTTTCTTTTAAAAGCATTAAATTGACCTTCATTTTTTACCATTTCTGGCACTCTTCATTTATTTTTGTGATCTGCATTTTTGTTTGATTTCATATTTCTGCCAAAAGAACTTCCTTGTAACAGTGTCAGTCAGCTGAGATGAAATTTTTCAAGTTTTTTTTGTTTGGAAGTCTTTATATTACCATTATTTTTGAGAGATATTTTCACTGTGTATATAATTCACAGGCTTTTTTTCTTTTAGTATTTTAAGATGTCACTCCATTGCCTTCTGGCTTGCATAGTTTTTGAGAAGTCCACTGTAATTCTTATCTTTGTTCCTCTATATGTAATCTCCTTTCCCTGGCTGCCTTCAAGATAGTCTTTATTTTGGTTTTTAGCCCTTTCACTGTAATGAATATAGGGGTGTGGACTTTTACTTTATTCTGCTTGGTATTCTCTGAAATTCTTGGATATTCACGTTGTTGTCTTACATTATTTTTTGAAGATTTTTGACTGTTACTTCAGATTTTCCTTCTGCCTCATTCCTTTCTTTTTTTCCTGGGACTTGCATTGCATGTGTCATCACACAGTTCTTGGATGATCTGTTTTGTTTTTGTTTTGCTTTGTGTGAATGTGCTCATCTCCACCTGGAAATTTCTGTTAATCTACCCTCAAGTTCTCTGAGCCTTTCTCTAGTTGTGTCTAGTTTAATGATGAGCAACATTTGAGGAATTTTTAAAATCTTTAATCATGTTTTTTATTTCTATCATTTAATATTTGTCCCTTTATTTTTCACATTTCTGTTGAAATTCTCCATCTCTTTATACAGGCAAGTTGTCTACTTTTTTCTGCTAGATCCTTTAACATATTAACCCTAGTTATTTAAATTTTTTTTTCTGATAGTGCTAACACCTCAGCCTTCTCTTGGGTTTTATTGCTTTTTTCATCTCTTGGCAGTAACTTTTCCTTTCTTTTCTGTATCTTCTAATTGTTGACTGAGACCAGATATGTGTAAAAGAATGGTAGACATTGAGGTAAATAGTACTTGTACTTGTAAATGGATAAGCATCTTTTTTCTCAGGCCATTCTTGTGGAGATTGAGCCAGTTTGTCAGTAATTTGGATTTTCTTATTGATATCTTTATCTTCAGTATACCACAACTTTACATTCCTCCAGCAGTAGGCACCTGTTAACTTGTGCTTGGAGAGTGGGGCTTAGGTACTGTAGGAAATTTTAATTTTTTCATCTCTTTAATTTTAGTTGTCTCTGCCTACCTTTTTACACATGGGAATTTCTTGCCCCTTCTCTGTCAGTATACTGCGTTTCCTTGTTATTTAGTATTATGCTTTTGGTAGAGGCAGGGGTTTTCTCTGTTTTGTTGGTCTAGCCTCAGTCTTATGTAGACCCTTGAACTTAGGGTGGGCTTTTTCAGTGTTTCTTTCCCTCAGCCAAACTAGTCTTGCGTATCTGTAGTTGCTTTTGGGTGGGAGTTTCCCATCTCTTCTCCAGGTGTAGCAGACCTCTACATGGTATCTGTGTAGGATCCTGGGCCCAAAGTAGTTTTCCTGTACCTCTCCCAGAGTTCAAGGGATTTGCTTCTACTTTTCCTCCAGCAGCAGATCATATTTGCCTATGTACTGGGAACAGTTTCCGATCCCTCTCTAGAGGCACCATGGTTTTGTTTCCATTCTTCTCCCAGAAGCAGAGAATCTTTGCCAGAGTCCTACAGGTGAGAGGTTTTGCTGTCTTTACCACAAACTTCTTGTTTTGCTTTGTAAAATCTATGGAAGGTTGCTGGGCATTGTCTCCTCACTCCCTATCACTGTCAATCACTTTCTTCCTGTTTATGCCGCTAGGGGAGACTTTCTTGGGTCTCCTTTTTACCCTCATTCTTTCTTAGGAACACATGGTAAAAGCCTATGGAGAAGAGTTTAAGAGTGTGTGGGAACTTCTCTTGTGTCCAGGGTCTTTGTTGCTCTAAAGTGACAAAAAACCCCATGTTTGGCTTGTAAAATTTTAACTAATTTCTTTTTAACTGCTTGGATGGTACCCACCTCTTTTTCCTGTGCTCTGCCAAAAGTGATTTAGTTGTGTGTCCAGTTTCTCATTGAATAGCCTTGCTCTTCTTAGGAATGTGGTTTGGTTGCCTTGCAACTTGAGCTCTCTGATGTGGCTTAAAAATAAGTTTGTTTTTTTTTTAAAGCTTACCTAGGATTTTCTCTTTGGGAGAGAGCATCTTTCTGTGTAGCTGTTTATATCCCAAGCATAAGTTTTAAATTTCTGCTTTGGTAATAAGATGGTCTTGAATTTATATTCTGTAGTCATCTTTTTAAAATGTTTAAAATTTCAATATTGTGCCTGAGGGGGAGGTTTTATTATAGGCATTCTTGTTAGACTACTGGATTTTTATTAAAAAATAGAACAGATATTGTGCCAAAATATGACCCCAAAAGGTACCATTCTGAGTAATGGCCAAATGCAGTTGGACCTCTTTTCTCCCAAATACTAGCCATTTGGGAACAAACCCATTTGGGAATGGGTTTTGGAGCGTTTAACTGAGAAGAAATTGACTTTGGGGCATATTCTTTAAGAATTGTGGTATAGTCCTACTTATTCATGAATAAATTTCTGTTTCACAGACTGCAGGTTTCTAAGGGCATTTTCCTGCTACCCACCTTGGTTTTGGTTATTCTTCCCTGCTACACTGAGGAGTCTAGATGTTCTTCCTAGCCCCCTGTAGCCAGTATTTTTCCACGTGGTTTTCTTTTTTACAGATTGTGGTGAGAACCTAATGGGGCTCTATATGTTTTGTTTTTTTTTTGTAATAGAGCAGTGGAATTTTGTGTGTGTGTGTGTGTGTGTGTGTGTTTTAACATTTTTTAAACTAATTAAAAAGTGGTAATACATGTGTCTTACAGACCACTTGGACCTTGCAGAAAAGTAAAGTGAAGAAAATAGTCATCATTTTTAATTCTGTGTAGAATAACTTCTAACATTTTGCATCCTGGCTTATTTCCAAGAATAAATAAATACATTTAAAATATATACCATAATTAAAGTCATAATATGTATCATATGCCAGTTTTATGTTTGGCATTTAATATTTAACATTACATTACAGGCATCTTCTTGTATCATTAAAAGTCTTAAACACTTAAAATGCTACATATATTTTATGAAATCCACTAGAGATTATTTTCCAGTAACAACTTCCCCTTGCATTCATAATTTGAAAGTCAAAAAGTTTGAAATTTGAAGTTTATTAAAAAGTTTATTCCATTCATAATTGTCTTCTAAAGCGTAGAGTTGTTTAGATTTCTAATTCTGTTTTTAAAGATGGGTTATGTTTTTTGGATTTTATTGTCCTTATGGCTTTTCTTCTTTAATTCCAGAATTCCATACGACATAATCTGTCACTGAACAAGTGTTTCCTTAAAGTGCCTCGATCGAAAGATGACCCTGGAAAGGTAGGATTCATTTTCTTAGAACAATTGAATTGTTATATTTGAAATAAGAACTTTTCCAGTTCATTGAATGGGAACCTCTGCGAAATAGCAAGTCCTCCCCTACCCTGCTCCATCTCAGCTTGTTGGAGAGTTTTAAGCTGTGGGAAGCTAACTAGTGTAGAGCTGTTGTATATCACAGCTTTGTTGTACTTTGCTGTTTCTTTCTTTCTTTCTTTTCTTTTTTTTTTTTTTTTTTTAAAAGAGATGGAGTCTTGCTCTGTTGCCCAGGCTGGAGTATAGTGGCGTAATCTCTGCTTCCTGGGTTCCAGCAATTCTCCTGCCTCAGCCTCCCAAGTAGCTGGGATTACAGGCGTCTGCCACCATGCCCAGCTAATTTTTGTGATTTTAGTAGAGACATGTTTCACCATGTTGGCCAGGCTAGTCTAAAACTCCTGATCTCATGATCCACTCACCTTGGCTTCCCCAAGTGCTGGGATTACAGGTGTGAACCACTGTGCCCAGCCTGTACTTTGCTGTTTCTAATCTAATCTTTGGTTGAAGTGTTGTGTATTAAATTAAATTTGGTGTTTGAGCTGCTTGTCAGGAATTACAATTAATTATTATATATAAAGGGTGCATCTGTGTGTAATTGGCAACAAGTGGAAGTATTCTTACACTGGAATAAAATAGTTTCTCTGTTATTTACCCATTTCTGAGTATAATCAAGAAGAGTGTAATTCTCTTACCTCTTGGCACCATTGCATTTTTCACATTTTTAGCATTTTATCTATTGTGACTCTCCTTTTTTTTGTTGTTTTGATAGCTACTCAACTATATTGTGCCCTGCACTTGGTACTATTTGCTTGGTTTCTGAAATTTAAGAGTGCTTGGTTATACCGTATTTGGTTGTCAAGGTAAGTTACTAGATCAGGACTTTCAGACAGTGTATTTATTGGCAAACATAGTGCTTGTTTAAGTGGGTAGGCTTCTTATATTTGTTTTTAGGCTAGCTATCCTTGGAAGAATCTTTCTAAAACGTAAGCCTAGTCATGTAAGCACCTTGCTTAAAAGTATTCCTTAGTGTCTTGGAGGTGTTTACTTTCTCTTCTTATAAAATATTCTTTACTGTTTTTTTCTTGATCTGCCTTTTCAGCTATAATTCACTTGTTCAAGACTCACTGAAGAACTACTTGAAGTTTTCTAAACATGGCATTCATATGGTTATCTATAAATTTCCTTGCTTTACTTTTCTATTCTACTTCTTGTCTTTCAGTATTGAGTGGCAACATTACTTACTTCTCTGAGGCTTTTTTGTTTCCCCATTACTTGAGCTGAGTTTCTTGCTCCTCATTTGAGTTCCTTTTATTTTGTAGCGACTGTCATCATTGTAGTAGCTCCTAACTGGACTGTGGATTGCTGGGCTTGACCCTCTAGTTTATAATAACCTTCACATAGTAGGCATCAGTCTTTCAAAAAAAAAAAAAATTAACTTACTCATATGGTCTCTTTTTTCAGACTCTTGGTTAGTTATCTACTGCTCTTAAAGTCGAAATGTATGCAAGTAGGGATCATGTGTATCTTGTTCACTGTTAGACCCAGTTGCTTGCACAGTGGCTGGTGGCACTGAGGAGACACCCTTGTTGAATGAATGAATATATTGTATCCTCTGTTAGACTGTTAACTTTCTTGAGTTTAGAGATGAAGTTATTCATTTCTAGCTTAAAGCAGTTTTTCTGAAGTAATGAACATGTTATAGCACTTTTTATAATCTATCCTGTCAAATTGGTTGTAAAATTGAACAGATTATTATAATAGTCTTATAAAAATTGTTTCTCTGTGTGTTTAATTTTGAGATGCTGAATAGGAATTGGTGCGCCTTTTCCTTTGAAGGAGGCTTATTGCAAAAAGATCATTAGATTTTAAAAATATATTCTTTATCACATTTTCTATAGGCAATGAGTATATATGGGTCAGACTGAAAAATGTTTTTAGGAGACTTCAGAGATTTTTTTTTACTAGAGTTCTATGAAGTCACTAATTGGGTTCTATAAACTTTTGGTTCTGATTGGATTTTGAAATGAATTTGAACTTATTAAAAAAATGAATACACTTGAATGCTTAATTCTGTCATGTACTTGATTTTAACCAATTGGAGACTCTTAAAAGTGTATCTTGTCAGGTATTTTTCTTTTGTGTAGAAGTTTAAGCTTTTGTTTATCTTTAATGAATAGTATATAGCATAAGACAGATGTGGAAAACATGTTGCTTTTTGCTACTCTTCTTTTTCAGTCAGGATTCGTAATTTATGTGCAACTAAAACAAAATACAGACGTGAGAGAGGCTAATCAAAGCTTTTATCTTTTGCCAGTAGTTTTCAGTTTTAAGGTTTTGTATTTATTAAAATGCCTCATTCTTATTGATTTTGGTCATACTAAGTAAATATCTTACATTTGATTTTATAATAGTAATTTTTCTCATCAGTCTCAAAGTGAGGTTTAGTTTGTTTGTTTGTTAGTTAATTTTGAGATGGAGTCTTGCTCTGTTTCCCAGGCTGGAGTGCAGTGGTACAATCTCAGCTCATTGCAACCTCCGTCTCCTGGGTTTAAGCAGTTCTCCTGCCCAAGCCTCCTGAGTAGCTGAGACTACCAGCATACATCACCATACCTGGCTAACTTTTGTATTTTTAGTAGAGACGGGGTTTCACCATCTTGGCCAAGCTGGTGTCGAACTCCTGACCTCAAGTGATCCGATCACCTCAGCCTCCCAAAGTGCTGGCATTACAGGTGGGAACTATTGCACTTGGCTACAAAGCAAGGTTTAAATACATTTTTCTCATTGATTTTGGTCAGATGTAGATGTAAATTTGGTCTTACAAGATACATTTATGTGAATAGAGTCATTTTTATTTTTGATTTCAAAATGAGATTTTGTTTTTTAAGAAAACACAAAATTCCACTGCTTTAAAAAAGCTTTGAAGACTTTGGCTCAAGCCCATTTCATAAAAGAAGAAACTAAGGCCAGTAGATGAGAAACAGCTTGCTCAGGTTCAGTGTGGAATTAGAACGCAGGCATATTGGCCAGACATACTTTTCAGTCACAGAAACTCAATAGAAATTAACTTAAGGGGAAAAGTACTTAAGGAAGAACTGGAGCCAGGTTCTTAAATGATATCATTAGGAATGTCTCTTTTCATCCCTTAGTTCTGCTAACGTCTCTGATACCTTCATTTTCAGTCCAATTAGTGGCAAATATGTCTGTTAGCAGCTTCTGGTTTATATTCTTCCAGCTGAGTAGCACATACCAGGTGTGCCTGGTGTTCATCCCGCCACCCTCCACATTACCTGGAATTACAGAAAAAGTCTTAGAATGAATGCTGAACAAGCAAAATATACTTGGTTTCTTAGTTTTTAGATTAGTACTTTTCCCATGATATCAATCTTCCTTGAGAGGGAGGCCAAAATGTTAGTTAAGTTTTGGTACTTATGAATTGTTTTTTCTTTTTGTATTGCAGTGTTTCCTGGCATTTGAGGAGCTTTTCCAAAACCACCCTCACCACAGTGGGAGAAAACCATTGAGTCAAGGTGGGGTGGGAGTAGATTTTGGTTTTGGGTATGGGGTGGACTTTATAACCCCTTAGGATTTTGCCTAGCTGATGCCATGACTTAGGTCAAGAGGTAGAAGTAGTTCGTACAGCATCTTCTCTGTATTTTCACAATACAGCTTTCTGTTCATTGTATTACCAGAGAAATGTGAAGAACAACCTAATCTCGAAGTCTGTTGTTGAATCACAGATGTTTTATGTGGCTATCTATTCCTTACTTAATCCTTCATTTTTAGGAAGAGTTTGTCATAAAAACCTTTAATATTTGGTACCCTTTTATGTACACTGGTGGTCTGATAATTCATTTTCCTCACCTCTTTACAACTAATTTCAAGCAGCCATGTTACCTTATTTTTAAGAAACACACACAAAAAATAAAATTCTATTTTGCATCTGCAACTTTGCTGCTTTTCTGGGGACAGATTTGTTTTTCTTTCCCCCTTTGATTACAACCCTTTTCTCCCTGTTTATACATTCTGCAGTCTATTTCCATTTTTAAAAACCCATATTTTATATCCCCTCTTTTCAAAATTAGTTGTTTTCTGTAGATTTGTCTTTTTTTTTTTTTTTTTTTTAAATTCTTTGTGGTATAAGTTTTATTATGTAACACATGTGTCTTAATTATCTTAAAGGTAAATATTTACATTGGGAAAAACAAATTACTGGTTAAATGTAGTTTAAAAAATATAATTCTCTTTCTCTGCTTTTCAGCTTAAACTTTTCTCAATTTTGTTTCCCTTTCTTCAGTTCAGAAAAATGATACTTTGACTTGAAAGGGACTAAAGGATTATAGGGCTTAGTTTTAACAGTTACCTAAGTACTTACTAGCAATGGGCTGTAATAGAACTAAGAAAATAGCTAAGAAGTTTAAAACCACATGAAGGCCACCTGATTGTCATGGGGAAATAACTACGGTTAATTCATAGTGAGAAGAGTTTTTAGGGGTGTGGGAGTTGGGGAAGCTTTGTCTTGCCTGGGAATGGGAAATAGTAAAGGCTCAGTGACGGTAAAAATTGGAGTCTCCTGGTTTGTGAGGAAATAGCAAACTCACTGCTAAGAGACTAACTTTGGAAATTTCCATTATTGTGATTTTTTCTTAAAAAAATTTTTTTTTTTTTTTTGAAACAAGATCTTGCTCTGTTGCTGATGCTGGAGTGTCATAGCACTCTCATAGCTTACTGGGCTCAAGCAATTCTCCAGAGTAGCCAGGACAACAGCACATGCCACCATGCCTGGCTAAGATTTTGAAATTTTTTGTGGAGGTGGAGTTTTCACTATGTTGCCTAGATTGGTCTCAAACTCCTGGCCTCAAGTGATCCTCCTGCCTTGGCTTCCCAAAGTGTTGGGATTGGAGGTGTGAGCTACCACGTCTCACAAATAATGAATTTTTTTCTATTCCTATTCTGTAGCTTAGTATAAG